GATTGTAAACAACGTAAGTGGTGGCTGATGTAAATCCGTAAAAGATGAAGTTATTAAGATTGCTCCTGATGTCCAAGGAGATGAAAATCTGTTATTCTTTTGTAACGCTTGTACAGTTGATGATGCTAGTCTCTTACTAAGTCTAACGTATCACTCTTCCTGATCTTCTCTCAACTCCTACAGCCATTCTATGAACAGTTTGCCTATGAACATTTTAAACTTTATCTACCCCATCTGATCTCCATCACTCTACACCAATGGTGTTTATGATCTTAATTGGAAAATTCTTACCAACCTTATGAAATGAAACCAAGTTGTATAAATCCACCGGAACACTATATTTTACAGATTATACAGCAGCCGATGCATATTCATGAAATAAATACATGCACGTTGTGCTGTTGTTATTTGTCATAGAGAGAACTTAATTAGCACTATGGGTCAGACAAACCCATCAATTACCGCATCATAACCAGTCCCTGTGTGAAAGCTGCACTTGTTTGCATTCCTAGGCCGTTAGGCAGCTGGAGAGCTAACCCGCCTTTATGAAAAAGAAATAACTGGTAAATTTTGATCATGAACATTATACTTTTGATAAGTCGTAAATCATCAAAACTCATTTTAAAAATACCTGCGTTCTTGTGGATAACGATTTGGCATTTGAAGCGATGGACACTGGGTTCGAGTCTCAGCAGGAACAACACCATTCACTGGTGTGCAGGCACATCCAGTTGATGAGTCCAAAATAGGACAAAACGCACGTTCTGGATTCCACTGCTAGTCACCAGGATCAATACAGCACCTATGTTCGGTTAATTTTGTACAAACAAACACTTCTGAAGCATACAACTATATTTGCGAATATGGTATCAGCGATTAGCCAAAAGACAGACGAAGGTGCAACTAAAAAGTTTGTAGTATCTTCGATGACGTGTGTCGCAAATGATGGGCGGGTTTCTAGATAGAATAACTTTAGTATAGTCAAGCTGAAAACCATAATCAGCATTTCAAACACTGATAATTATCTGTTAACCTGAGAAATAAGGGATGTTATAGCAAGTTACATACGACCTACATAAATAGGCCGGGAAAACTGTTCAGCTTACAATGAAATCTCTAAAACTGAAGGCTTTCACCGGATAAAAGCCAATAATTAAATTCAGTGGTTTGATATTTTACTGGCCAATATACAGCAGCACCATACTGGTTTGCAGAGGACCCAGAAATTTGAAATTTATTTTACTTTTCTTGACTTATTAAGTCAGAAGGAAAAATCAACCTTAAAAGTGCAAATCGAAACACTTTACTTAATAAACAAAAAGTAGTATAAAATGCTGCGGTAAAATTCTACGCCACCTTCATTCCAGTTACCATATAATCACAATACTAAGACGAGATTATCCATTTGTTTACAGTTTTCTTCAATTTCAGTTAATCCTAATGGGCATGGGCATGACTGACCGAATTTTTTTGTCATGAACAGCTGCAAATTACAAGAAGAAAACTCTTTGAGTTATATGGGTAAACAAACCTTAATAATATTGTGATACGGAGACGTGAAACTAATCCATGATATCGCCTCACAAAAGACGCATTATGAAACTTTACATATCTGTGAGGTAAAGTCGTAAGGTGACAAACAGGTTTGACCGTCAAAAAATGTATGGATAGTCAATTTTCAAGCCATTCAATTGATGTTTGTATTGAATTTAAACAGGATGATAGCTTTCGGATAATTCATAAGATTCTCAAATAAAGCTTTGCTTCAAATCTCCCTAATTAAGTTAGGTGATACCAATAGCAATGATACATTCGGTCACCTACAAAGTATCGAGCGTACTGTGCAGCAGACCACTCTGTTCTACTCTGTGGCACCAGGTTTCTGATGTTCGACCCTTATCATCTTTGCGTAACAGGCCACGTGCCATGAAACCACTAATTAACGTAGATTGTCAGGCAAAAGAGGTGGGCCAGCTGACAGATCGAAAAATTTCATAAAATTATGTGGCTGCGATGTTATCTATCTCTAGTCACCTCCTCCCCCACATCTCGATATGAAGTGCTAAATGAAGTGGGTTTAGACAGGAAAAATACAGCCTCACTTGAACGTAGTATCAGTCTGTGAAATCTCTTACTGTTGGTCTAAGCTGTATACAGAGATGTACACTTCCTTATCGACATCCACATGCCCATCGAAATTGATTGCTGGAGACTCTTGGTGATATGTCAGTGGCACAGGTGCACCTACATACTATCTTCACAACAATATTCAGTTGTATTGTTGTGCCTTTTTCTTTCTATGATTTTTTAACACTTCCTTTCATATTTCTCTATCTTTCGTCCCGATGCATTTTACCTTGATGCGAAGGGGTGGGCAAATTGAACCGTTACACACTAATGCCAAGCCCATGTTGATGTTGACATTTATGTCAATATAAGTAGTTTACGAAGGCTAAGGACCCAACTATCAATAACTCAAAATAACAATGATGTAGGAAAGTAATCTACACTACTTGGTAGTAGTAGTTTTTCAAACAATTAAAGAGCATAAGACTGTGCGATATGGACCAAATGAAAAACTGCACGCTTCCCACACTAATCTCCAATGTTTCCTAGTCAGATTGAGGTGATTTAAACACCATAACTGCCGTTTTGTATGCTGAAACCCGAATTCATCAATCCATGAATGAGTTGATTACGTAAGATGGGATGATACGTCTCCCAACTTTTTATAAACCAGGTGAATTTTTTTTATGATGGAAGTCATTTAAACTTACTATAACATCATCTAATAAATGGTACTATGCCTGTTGTGTGATAAAATATACATTCTAAAATTCGCACTACACTATATTCGACACCAAGAAATTGGGTAAGAAGGAGGAGTTTATTTGTTAGTCACCCAATAAAGGGGATTTCTAACCACCAACCAGAAAGTTGTAAAAACATCACACTTACATTATTCTGTTTATTGTTTGTGAAATATACCGAACATGTTTCGAGTAGCTTATCCGCAGTAAACATGAATATTGATTTAAAGGCCAAAGAAAAACCTAAAAATGTACTTTTCTATGCTACTTTTTAGCCCGTTAGCGCAACTACGGTTCTTAATAGATTCGCGATATGAGACAATGCATTTATTTCGTGTATACGATGGGTCCAGTACCCGTTGCTAGTAATTCAATTAACGAGGCGTATTGAAAAAATCAAAAAGCACGAATATTTGCGAACTATGTATTTCAAGCGTACCTTGACCAGCAAACCGAAAACCAAAAGGAGTGCGAAGTGTACAAGGCTTTAAAAAAGTGTGTGGAATATTCTCAAGCATTCCTGATGCAGATAAACATCTCAGAAATGTACAATGCCTAACAACTGAATGATACGTTCGAAGAAAGAAATTGAGGTCACCACAAGTCCATTTTACTTTTAAAAAAACGTGTGCACTACTTTACTTTGGCAATCAGAAAGAAAAACTAACGATCATTTCAAGTAGTAAGACTGGATTATAAGCTCCTACTGTGTCAATTCACTTGCTTTTGGTTGAGCAACCTCAACATTTTGAGCAATGGGTTTGCAACCAATTAGTTAAGTGATTCTACCCATTTCGACTGTGACAGATATACAGAATTCAAAAGAACTTTACGAAACGTACATGATTTAAATTCAAATGAACAGACTTGTACACAGATACTGAGCTACAAGCACACTAAGTTCTTTGCTTTACTCACAAATCGTTGCTGTTGCAGCATTAGTCGTTAACAAGTGTTCCTATTCATCTTAACTATGTGCTTCTTCTCTCAGTTGATTCTAGCTGATTCATATCTTTGAGTCTCAAAAAAAGTGTTGGAGGCTCTAACACAACATACTAGAGGCATAAATCTCTTCAATAGCGGTAAAAGGTGGAGACTGGACATTATCTGAAGAACTGATATAACCTGTTACAGCTGAAACATGATACCTTCGAATACTTAAGATACAAAATATGTTGTGTTGAAACGGCGACACAATGTAAACACATTACGACTACTGTATGTTTTCACTGAATACAAACAAAATCAATATAGAAATCCAGCACTGAAAACTGTTAGCAAGAGACGTTCTGTATGCTAGATCGTTTGTGCTTACTTAGATGACGCACGGTATGATATAACCTAATTTTACCTATATTTTAGTCATCGTTATATTTAGATGAGTAGATAAGCGTAAACATGAATATAGTGCACAACAATAGACTGAACTCCATTATGTCCGCACATTTGTACTCGATACAGCTACTGATAAGATAATGCAGATCTCAGAAAGTTCAACCCTATACCAAACATTTTGCAGTTACGTTTGGAAACACTCGTAACATTATGATCAAATGGATTACCGGACTTACATACAAATCCTGATTACTAATGCGCACAAAATCTATTATTAACCTCATCAGCATATCAGTCAGGATATGGAGATAGAAATCCGCAAAAACAATGATTATTTCAAGGATATTTATGCAACCCAGTGTGTTTCACCAGATGCTGCTTTCGAAATGTGGTTTTATAAATAGCATGAAACTCTTCTACATTCCACAATTATGCTCATAAAGATAATTTTAAACTTGAGATATTTTAGTTGATTTTAGTTCTCAATACGTATAAGAGACTGTGAGATCGGTCAAGACAAAAAATTCAAAACTATGTCTGAGTAACCGAGAAGACGGGTTACAACAATTTGATCGCTTACCGTGTACATAAAACAACAAAAACGTCATTCTGAATAAACTAGTATTTGATATGTATCAGTTATCAAGTTAAAATAGTCATTCATCAAAAAAAACTAACAACTATGAAAGTAACAGGATAAGATTTCACTTGGTTTTGTACTTTTAGAGCTAGTGGTAAAAACAATCCAAATTTCGGCATAGATAATCACAGTTATATTCCTTTAGTATCAAAACTTTATCGCATTCAATATTACGATACATTATGCAGAAGTAGAATTTCCGATAGGTTCATAGTTTAAATGAATTTAACATCTTCAGATTTATCTACAGTGAGACACCTCCATACAAATGTAACGAGGGTAAGCAGTTGGTTAGGGATAAACAAGGCTGCTGTATACGTCAAAGCAATCATAATTGATAGCGTGATGCAATCTGTTAACTAGGGTTAAGGAATAAGAAAGTTGAAAAGAAAAGGATATAGTCAATAGTTATTTCTAAAACTGGAGTTCAAGATTTCCAACATTGTCTCACTGGTTCACAATCGATATACAGCATAATATCCCTGTTCAAAACGTTCCTACTCATGCATCTCCTATTAATCAGGATATTGAATACGCATAGGTAGTTGGACTAAGCATCTCGCATGTCACAAGTTAACTACTTTACACCCAGTGATAAAGTTCAGTAACGGATTAAGCTACCCTTAACCTAGCCACTGCTTACCGATGGTTATATTTAGTGCAATCGATACTGTGTAGATAATAGTGATAAAACAAGAAATATGTTTTCTGCCAATAATTTCAACATCTTGTTGGTGAAATACACTTTCAGGTGAATACAGATGTTCATAAAAGAGCATAAATCAATCAAATCGTTCACTTTAAAACTTAAAATGAACGTAGATGTAAGGAAACTTTGAGCATTATTGTAAATCTAGAAACACAACAAACACGGTGTCGGTATTTTATGATTTCACTAATTCCAGACAATTATGGTTTAGACCAAATTATGTTCTTGCTGAAATATCATATAAGATAGTCTTATTTCAGGAAAGATGATTCTGAGAAGTTAGTGCACATGCTGCTTTGCATTCGCGGATCAGTTCTCAGTCAGTCACTTGAAAGATAGGATGGAAGATCATGGGAAGCTCCTACGCTACAAAGTGAATTCATATTAGTGTTCAAAGCAGAAGTTAGGACAGAAAATAAGTGTAATAACCTCAGTACAAAAAAAATGCAAGCCATGAAATTACAGCCAGGGATATTTGGGTAGAATGAGCTTGCTTGACTTACTTCCCCGCAGTGTTTTATTTAGAAACCTATCTATCTATTAGACTGAATAAATAATAAAATTACAAAGGCCACATCGTCGTGTAGAGCATACGTTATTGGAGGTAATATCGATCAATAGAAACTCTAATTCTACTGGTTCTGATGAGCTCATAAAATAAATGAATCAATTCCGTTACCGATTTGTAATTCAGGAAAGCATATCGTGGGAAGAAATACTGGTGCTAACCTCAGAGAAATATTTAGCTTTTTCGGGTCACAGATGAAAAGTGATTGAAACTACTTTTACAGCTTGAAAGTGGTAAATTGAACAGATTTTTGTGAGCTTCTTAAATGCTATTTGTTGAAAAGCAAGTTGTAATAACTGGCACCTCATTAAAGATACTTCCTTTTTATACTTTATTGCTCTACTCATATAAATTACGAATAAGTGAATGATTTATCACTTAGTGCATTTCCATGGCGACATTAACTCATAGGTTTGTTTATCCGAAAAGTCGGTATCTGAGATTGTTAATGTTGTTTGTTGTAAGCCACATGTCATCATATTTTGCCCTTAATATAGATTACTCTAGTGACACTTCTAGTAATTATAGAAAGCACACTAGAACATTATTCGGCAACTATCGAATAAGATTAGTTGAGTACAAGTGGAAGACTTTTCCATTAGTTAGTCACGGGCTATTCACATCTTTTTGAGAGTAAATTGAGTTTCCGCCTTATTTTGCAAACATGAAACTTATCCATTAAACTCTAAGAAGTAGGAATATGGCATAAAACACCTAAAGGAGGACACTTCGGATCTTTGCAAAGGACATACATTTTTGTCCTACGTAAAATTAGAGGGCTTTCTCCATCGTACAAAGTATTTCCAGCAAAAAAGGATACGCAATATAAACTTTTCCCAAGGTTCACACATGTAGATAGCTAAACATAAGCAATATTGACGGAAAATGTTGCACACAGATCGGTATACAGATGAAACCATTCTGTAGACAATCACCAGCTACACTCCGGTTGATCTCCTATTTCGAACAAATATATTGCAGTTTTCGAGAACCAGAAATATTCTAAAATGTACAACAATAAAAGAAATAAGCGGGGAACTGGAGCATTTAGACCAAACAAAGTGTATATCATAAGCCCATTGTAGCCCACAAGCGTGAGTCAGTCAGCGAAATGCATTATACAAAAAAAATATAAAAGAGTAAGGAGACTACTAAACAACCTCATTCCATAAGCCACTGTCTAGTACATTTTGTTATTACAAACAATTGAAATGCTCGCAGTCTTGAAAACTACGCTATCATAAATGCCCGGAAACAGTGAGAGTATAAGTATCAACACAAAGCTACTGAGTTGGCTGAGACATGTTACGCAAGTAAAGTCACCATCTGCGATGGTGAACAATGTTAGCTGAAGTAGGTTTAGGTTGGAAAAAGGCTGTACATAGCCAGACTAAATTATGACATCAGTTTTGACTGTTGATCTGGGCTAAGTGGAAAAGTGTAGACTTCCCGGTTGGGGTCAGCGTGACAGCAGATTATAGGTCATATAGCTCAAAATCTAAGGTGGATGAATCCATACATCTTTGCCCTAATAACCACAATAAATTTCAATATTCTTTTATCCCTTCTAGCTCTCTTTTGACAACTTTCTACCCATTTCACTGCTTTCTTGATCTTTCACCTTGATGGATTATCGCTTTGTGTACCGATATAAGGTGTGGTAACTTGCACCATTGCGTAGTAGTGCCACGTCCGGTGTTAGTATTATCTTTCCACCTATCCAATAAGACAGGTGCCTGAGAAACCACTCCCGACCGATAGCTGCTACCTTGACGTGGTGGTCGGGCTTGCATATCACAATGACCCAACGAGCTATGCTGGTGGAACGCTTGTTCCCTCGAGGTCCTACCATACCAGAAAGGTCTGTTGGGTAGTGGTTAGACGAAAAGCAGTTACCGTTATAGTGTAAATTGCTACACTATGATGGGGGTCTGAGGGCGAAGTCGTACTGCTGCTAGCTGGATGGGGTGTGACAGCAGTAAGGTGTTTCCCTTGGATGACCAGCAGTGCCATGCTGATGCTGCCTTCTCAGTGGAAGGGGGGTTAGAAAAGGTCGGCCCCAAAAATAACACACTCCACCACGCCCCACGGTCTGCCGGGCCGGCGGTGTTGGTTCACTTGTCGTTTCCTTTCGACCATCCGGCCCCAAAAATACAAAAATTCAAAATAATCATACTCAAAAGGCTGGGTGTGACAGGCCTCAAGCAGATGTCCGATGGGCTCTGCGGTCACACAAATCTCTTTCAGGTACCTTAAGAAGAAATAGCCTTCCACGGTGTGGGCAGCCGGGAAGTGTCAACCGCCCTCACAACTCTGTCAGCACCCAAGTTTCTTCTGACTGCTATCCTCCTCCTCCATCATTACCTTCTAATCTTCCTTCACGTCTCTTAATTAATGATGCTGCATCATCTTCAATTTCTCCTACCTCTGCAGCCTTCGACAACGATCTGAGTCCACAGAACAGCATCCCTGGTCTCCTTAAACCACGCTCCAAATTACATATTGGAGCCTTCAATGTCCGCACCCTCCGTCAAATTGGCCAACAGGCTTCGTTGGCAAAGACTCTAGCAACTCGGGCATGGATGTGTGCTGTGTTTGTGAGACACGCATACAGGACCCAAGTGTGGTTATTCACCTGACCTCTCCTGACCAATCTGGTGAATCTGCAAAATTCACCCTTCGAGTTTCTGGAGATTCGATAGCTAGCTCTCGTGGTCTTGCAGGTGTAGGTATAGCATTAAGCACCAGGGCAGAAAACTCACTACTAGACTGGATCCCAGTTGATAGTCGCCTCTGCGCTATGAGGCTGAACGGCACAGTGAGAACTAAAAGGAATAGTGAGACTCGCCGTTGTCTCTTTGTAATCTCTGCTTACGCACCCACTGACTGTAGTTCGGATGAAGTGAAGGACGAGTTCTACCATAAACTGTCTAACCTCCTCTCGAAAGCCAAACGTTCGGACGTAGTGGTTGTTGCAGGTGACCTCAACGCACAGGTGGGTAGACTGAGTGAGGCAGAAAGGCACTTAGGTGGCACTTTCGGAATCCCAGCTGAACGTACAGATAACGGTGATCGCCTATTACAACTATGCTCAGATAACCGCCTATTTTTAGCCAGCACAAATTTCAGACATAAAGAAAGGCACTGTCTGACCTGGCGTCCACCGAGCTCGACTCAGCGATGGACACAGATAGACCACATTGCTATTAGTCATCGCTGGAGAGGATCGGTGGAAGACTGCCGCTCCTTCTGGAGTACGTGTTTGGACAGCGATCATGCGTTGGTCCGAGCACGTATATGCCTGCGTCTCAATGGACGTAGAAAAAATTTGGCAACAAAACCACTACGAGTTCTGCTGGACAACGAAAACACCAAAGCCGTGTTCAGTGAGAAGTTGGCTAGGCAGTTATCGGAACAAAATACTGTCACTCATCCAGAAGAAGCTTGGTGCCACCACAGAGGAATCAGCCTGACGAACATAGTGTCTAAGATCCTAAGTTCTATAATTCTCCGACGCCTGAGTGGAGCTCGGGAACAGCAAGCCCGAGAAAACCAGGCAGGCTTTAGACCTGGCCGTGGATGTATCGACCAAATATTCACACTGCACCAGGTCCTGGAACATAGGCACGCTTACAGACGCCCGACAATAGCTGTATTTCTCGACCTGAAGGTGGCATTTGACTCCGTTGATCGAGAAGTCTTATGCCAATTTCTCTCACTGAAAGGCGTGCCTAGTAAGTAAGTACATCACCTTATTGAAAGCTCTCTACTCGAACACTTGTGGGCATGTAAGAGCCTATGGCGAGTTGTCCAGAGAGTTATACTCATCAAGTGGTGTCCGTCAAGGATGCCCACTATCCCCATTCTTATTTAATTTTATCATAGATATTCTTATGGAGGTTTCCCTCTCGTCACCTAATTACAAAGACGTTGACCCGATCACTGGTGAATTTTCTTTAGATCTAGAATATGCAGATGACATAGTCCTGTCAGGTGAAGATACTGACAAGATGCAGAGTCTTCTGAACACTTTGAGTGGGAATTTGAAAATGTTTGGGATGCGGTTTTCACCACCCAAATGCAAATTTTTGCTCCAGGACTGGTCTTCAGCGGTGCCCCACCGTGGCTAACAATAGAGAGTGAAGTGGTTGAGTGTGTTGACCACTTCACTTACCTGGGAAGTAGGATCAACCCTGGTGGGTTAGTTGCTGATGAGATCTCTACTCGCATACAAAAGGCTCGATTGGCTTTTGCCAATTTGCACCACCTATGACGCCGCTGTGATATCCGTTTGACTACTAAGGGTGGCGTGTACTGCACAGCAGTCTGGTCTGTTCTACTATATGGCTGTGAAACATGGCCATTGAAAGTGGAGGATACAAAAGGCTTCAGGTGTTTGACCACCGTTGCCTTCGTAATATAGGACGTATTCCGTGGTGTCACCATGTGAATAATGCAGAAGTTAGGTGTAGAGTTTTGCGGAGAAGAGGTAAGTCAGTTGACGAGGTTGTGAACCTTCATCGACTGAGATGGTTGGGACACATACTACGTATGCCTAGTCACCGATTGTCTCGTCACACAATGTTGGCTGAGGTGGGTCCAGGCTGGAAAAAGGCCCGAGGTGGCCAGACTAAAACATGGCACCAATGTATGAAGTCTCTGACTGTTGGTTTAAGCCATGTAGGACGATGCAGACTAGGTGGTTGGGGCCCACGGGACAAGAGGAACCAGTGGTTGGAGACCCTAGGTGATATGGCTCAGAACCGAAGTCAGTGGCGCAGATGTATACACACATTATCCTCATCTTAACAACGCTATACCGAATCTCACCATTTTGTCACTCCTCTTTCCTTTCTTCTCGTACTTTATATTTCTTTTGACTGCATTCACTTATCTTCATCCTTCACCTCACTACCTTTTTACTTGATGTGCTGATATGAGGTGTGGCAACTCGGACCGTTACGCAGTAATGCCTGGTCCTATGTTGATAATGATGATGATGATGAAACCACTTTTTATCTTTTTCCAAATGATGAACATATAATTATTATTTTATTATTCTTTCTCCTGTGTATTTATACTTGCATTCACTTCGTAAAACTTATTTCACCTTCTTAATATTTTCTGCGTGATACGAGTTGACAGATTAAGATGACACACTTTATATGGGGGAACCAACGGTGCTAAATGTCTCCATTAAGTTCCTTTTAATAATGTTTCTATTGAAAAATTTAGGATTACTAATTTTAAGTAACTTCGATTTCCATCTTCTGTGAACAGCAGGTACAGCGAAATGTTTACTAAGACAAATTTGGAAATAGTGACGAAAATTTTCGTTTCTCTCAAACAGCTATATTTCTCAACAATGTATTGGATCGTCTTGCCATCTGCACTTATCAAGCCTACATAAATCACAAATTTAGTGAATACTGCGAAAGGACATATGTGAACTCGTTACAACGTAAACGTCGTAAAACCGCAATTCACTGCAAGTTGGTGATCGAAAAGTCAAGAAGACATGAAATGAAACAGGTTAGAGACGACTAAAGACACTCAAAAGATTCGTTTATTTTACTAAGTGAATAAATGGTGATTAATGTTATCCGGATCCAACTTTTACTGAGAATCCCGAGGAAATGGGGAAGACGAGACTATAAATGAAGCTATGTCATATGACTTTGACTAAGTATTCGAAGAAGACAGTGAGGGTTTGATAAATTTCCTCGAGCCTGGCTTGGGAATCAGACCAATGTTCACGAAGAACACTGTATTGTGATTGCTTCACAACATAGACCCTAGTAATTTTAATGGCCCGGATGAGCTTAACTCATGCATATTATTAGCACTGGCAGATATCACTAGTTAATTGCTGCTGGATCTGCTGAGTTAGTGAAAATCACCTCGAAACTGAAAGGATACC